AAACCGGGTCTAGTGACACTGACGATCAATTAAATTTGAATTAACAAATTGCAGGATCTTTAGAAATACAGCATAACAAAAAAGAGGAATAAGCACATTTGAGGAAGAAATCGTCATTGGTATTTCCACCTCTTAGTGACAAAAAGCACGCCGTACAGAATGTGAAGTCTGAGCAGTGTTTCACCCACCCCATCGTCCATAGCCAAGAAGGCAGGCACCTTGAAGTGATCGATGGTAAATGAAAGACATGCATGATCAACCACGCTGCCCGTACAGAAAACGCGAACTGTACCAAAACTGTGGCGGTTGCGTTGCGTGTGGCGGGGCATTGACATCGATGTCCGATTTTCGTCGGATAAAAAAGACAAGACATTTATCAATATATCGTCGCTGGTGATGGTAAGATTGGAATGGCGTATCGTAATTCGCTAACGCAGCCAACGGTAATATAGATCTACTGATTATTTAACCTTTGCAATGCTCTCTCGTGCATTCGTCCTTTACCCCATTCTAACGTCTTTTTCTCAATTCACATGCCAATAAAGCCGATAACGAATATTAATGATTTTCCGCGTTACTGCGAAGTGAAGTCGAAACGATAATTGCTGGCAACCTGATATTCGTTACATTTAAACGAGTCGCTGATGATAATGCCTTAACAAAGCTTTGGTCAAGAAATACCGTCTGGCTTTCTAGAAACCAAAACATTCCGTTCCGCGATCGCGCAAATCAATTGAACAATCTTGTGTCAACCACCGTTACTTAACAAATCGACCAAACCATCATTATAATGTGATATAATATTAACAGTGAGTGAAGAAGCCCGCAAATTGTCTCCGCACAGCAATTTACAAATAGCAGCAGTCCTATCTATATAGTAATACAAACCACGCTGTTCAGGAAAGATTGTGTTCTGATGTACAGCATGAAATTCTCTCGCCAAAAAAAGAAACCGATAACGAACGATCTATCACGGACTATTAACGAAAGGTATTAATCTTTTTAATAACAAACAGCAATACCAAGAAAAGATATGTTATTCATTACATTTCATAGTTTTGCAGGAAAAGCCGAACGTGATTATAACATACTGACGCACTGTCACCGAACTCCTCATGCTCATTCAATGTCTATAATAAGCCCACACCACATCAAAAAATGATAATATCAAAATAAAAAAATCCATGTGCACTAAGTGAAAATAACGCATATGATATACTATCATTTCTTCCGACATTGATCCGACTTCTGGTGTGATCCAGATTTGCGGTAGTGACTGAGAAAAACACTTTGCTGGTGTTGGCTCCCCCCCCCCCAATTTCCTCAATGCTGCCAATGAATAAGGTCTCGTTCCGAGTAGACTCATTAGTCTCATCCGTTTTCTTTCTAAACACCTGTCGAAACAACGATCCGTGGTGGTGTAGTGTTGTCTTGCATACGTACTTAAAAGCGGGACGCGACGGATGACTGATCAGGCAGAGCAAAGTTTTAATTTCCGCCACCCCCTAACTCTCCAACTCCATATTTTACTCATTAAAAGAAATAAAGCTCCGCATCACGTTCAGTCTCAATGTTAAGATTGTGTTACTTTGTTGAAGTTTTGAGCAATTAATATTGAATGCAGGAAGCCTAGACAAATATGAAGTTATGCATGACAATCCCTTCCCTATACCTTTTTCTCTTGATCTTTTGAATCCATAAATCTCAACGTACCCAAGCTCTTTATTCAATGCTCTATTATCTTTCATCCGGGGCACCATTTGATTCGGTATTGTATAAGAAATATCTCAAAGTCTTAGCCAAAACCACTGGTCTTAATCAGGAAATAATTGGCGTTTAGGAGTTCTTCGCTTTTTCTTGGAAATTGCGTCTATGATATACCGAGACCATATGGGCACAACACATTAATCGCGGGGTGAGACGAATGTAAAATATACTCTTAATAATCAATATTTAACATAAACTTATTAATAAATACCAATTATAATCTTAATGATATCAACATTTCAATATTCTCCAAAATATTGATCTCTGGACTATATGAGGCAATACATTCTTGCGACTGAACAAAAATAGCAAATTAATAATACAGGTAAATAATGTCAACGTTCCAGCGGTCATGTAAATTTCCCACCTTACTTTAATACACACGTCTTTAGCCTCGTGAGCCTCGCGAAGTCTCCCCGTTCCGGCGTAAAATTAAGTCATCCAATGCAATGTTCTTAAAGAAATTCGTGTGCTTTCTGATATGCCCGCGCTCTTTCATCATAATCATCCCTTCAGTATAACTTCTACTTGTTGATGTTCTGGATTTCTTCAGGTGATAATGTCCCCCTTGATACTTGTTGGTAGGGTGATTGTTGAAACGCAGTGTTACCAAAATCTGTTGTCATCTGCCGGGTTGGATTGACAGTTATCACGTAAAGATCATGAATAGCCTCGTGAGCGTCATTTCGTCAACGTGTTAGCGAATCCGGTATTGAGGATTTTAATCATTTCCAAATACATCACAATGTTTGAACAGTCCAAGTGTTCGGCAACGTAATTGGTGAAAGTATCGCCAAACGCCGGCATAGATGCTTTACCGCTACTGATTTTAAATTATCTCATCTATATTCATTGGTTCAGTTTGATCCTCTAGTATTCGTCGGATTCTACAGTAGATGGGGGTATCAGTTAATAAGCCATTAGTTACTGCTATCGCTGTCGAAACTGTTTACATATAAAACGAAGAGTATAATACCACTAAAAGGGTTCTGCAGTTCTTGCTTGTGTCCGTTCATTACTCATAATTAAATCACAGACATTAGAGTTACGGACGCTGACTGAAGAATCGAACCGACACTTCCGTCGCCTGTCCACGTGTCTCTTCACCCGAAAATAATTCGATAATGTTCTGAAGATTAAAGGCGTTTTATCAATAAATCAAAATCTAATATCAACCTATGCAGACTAGAACTTACTCAAATGGCACATCGTACGCTATCCAGCTTTCCGTGCATCTAAGTCTCTTTGCTTTAAAAGAATGCGATCGACGGAAATGCTTCGTGCATACGTTTGGTATGTCATTGATTGTACATGCTGCAAGCTAGGAAAAACGGATTTATCAAGCAGGAATTTTCGCGAAGACCGTTTTGCATGAATTACGTGGACTGGTAAAAAATATGCGGTTGATATTTTTGGTAGCGTCTACCGAGGAACCAGACTTGCCATCATCCGGTAATGATTTCCTAAAGAGGGCTAATTAACAGAGATCTGGATAAAAGGAGACAACAGATTGATCAAGACAGACACCTACCAGTCTTGGCCTGAAAATGTGGAACCGACATGGGTGCTAAATACCGTTGCCATTAACTCACAAGTAAACTAATTACGTACCGCGACATAGTAATCGGGAAGCTAAGTCCCAAGCATGCTGTTGTTTTTGAGCGCGTTATGATAAGGAGATGAAATGGTTTAATCGTCACCATTTCGAATTTCGATACGGGGTCCAAGGCAAATGTTAACCATAACTTTTACACGCGGAATTGTTAAGTTAATTTATAGATACGTAGATGTCTCACCCCGCGTGACCAGCTATCGAAGTACAGTCTGATCATGTGACGTAATCACAAGTCAATTTTATATTCAACAGAAGACGTTAAAGTGAGCGACGATGTATTATAAAAAGATGCAATGGTGATGAGTATTCTATATTGATAGATCTTTAGACGCTATTATTAAAGACGAATTATAGTTCTTATCAATAAACCATGTCCGCTTATTTATTTTATACAATCATATTAATATCTCATTATCGCAAAGAATTTACGCAAAATGTTTAATGCTTTTTTAAACCAACTGCATGTATTAGCAGACATATTACACACTCACACATATATATTCGAATAAAGACATTTCCAGTGACGACTTGAGATTGATTAAAAATAACGCAGACTGTTTATTGATAAAATATTTGTCAAATACAAAGAGATCAATTGTTTGCAATAATCTATTACTATTTAAAATTAAAATATTTGTCAGCACAATCAATTAATATTAAAATGTATTAGTATGTAGTTTGAATAAATTGTAACAGCTTTGACGTCGTATGCGACCTTATTTGCAGTCTATATTTGAGTTTGAAATACACGCCATTTTCGATTTGCTTAAGTTCGTCACGCGACCCTTGCTCTACTGCTTAATCAGACACACCTGATCAGCATGTATAATTGTCGAGAGGAAAGATCAAAATTATAGGTAAGTAAATTACATGTCAACTTTACTCAGATAAGCAAAACAAATATATTCGCGCATATTGATCTCTGTTTTTGAAAATAAAACTTGCTGGGGTGAAATGCCATATTCTTTTACTAGAGCTTTCTATTGAACGTTTGCATCGTTATGCTCTTTCCTTACCGATATTAATGTGGTTCTATTAGCAGTATCTGTCGTAGTGACTTCTGTACGCGTCTTTCTGTACTGGTATCAAGTGCCGACGTCGCTTTGTCAAGTAATATTAATTGAGGATTCTAGTGTAGAAGCACGCAAACACGTATTATTATTATTATTACAAGTTAAGCTCGATGTTTCATTAACATTAAATAGATAATCACCTTTACCAATCCGCCTAAGAATAAACATTCCCTACATAAAAAGTGATGTTACTTTTCAAAGATTGAATAGAATCATCTGACTATGCTTACTAATACCTATTGCTTACCTTGCCTCCTGATGGACCAACAATAGCAAATTGGTACTCTAAACCAGTAATACAACTTTCACTATAGTTCGTTTGATGCTCTTTTAGCAATCTCCTCGCGCGTTCTATTCGTATGAACTGCATTGGCCGCGTAGGAAATTAAATACAACGTTTCGCGATAGTCGAATAACAGTTTTTTGTATTGCAGATTTAGAAACATCGCCATTGCAGCATATTTGACAATATATTTCTATATTAATGTTAATTCGGTTAAAATTTTTCTATTTTATATGTTAATATCCATTGACTTCTTTTGTGAACCATGAGATAACGATAATCACACTTTTCAAAAAAAGGTATATTTTAATATCACGTCCCCGATATTTGTGTCGCACAAGAATAATTTCTATTTACGGTAAAGATGTATCCACTACCTTAATAAAATCCGCTCACATGATGCTTAATATGGTATACTGCGCAAATCTTACGCTAATACAATAATATTCAGACTCGTCTTGATGAGTTGCAAGGATCACGTCACTGAATTAAACAAGTAGTATTAATTATATTGTAACATTAATATAAAGTAGGTTTATTTTCATCGCGCAAAGATTTCAACATAGAAGGACCTCCCTAAGTGCAAGCTGATGTTCATGTAATTCGTCAGAGTCAAATTTTAATTTCTGAAAAGTTCTTGCAAGTCAGAAGATGATAGTGAAAAATGGCCTAAATCAGTGATCAAGCTCACCAAAGCACCGAAAACTCTTCTTTAAGAATTCAAAGAAAGCTTTGAGGAACGTAAAAAGAAAAATCATAGTTTCAGACATGAATCGTGTGCTGCAGAAATTCGAAATGCCTCTGGACATACTTGTCGCTTAAACCAGTCGGCCGTTTCAAAATGCTCAAAGGTGAGTATATGCCAAATGAGGGAGAGAAGACTGTTAGAAGTTGTGTAATGAGCGAAAAACGAAAAAGGCATATACAGAAGGCAGGAGAGGACCTGTTGAGACAGCAATAATGAGTTGAAGAGTAGTAAATAGGTGGATTACGTATAGTATTATGAGCTATTATTACGATTATAAAGTCATTTTATCATGTGAGCGGATTTTATTAAGGTAGTGGATACATCTTTACTGTAAATAGAAATTATTCTTGTGCGACACAAATATCCGAAATTTTCGGATTATTTTGTCGGAATAATGCACGATTATCCCGACAAAGCTTTTACAATGGCCTTCCGACCCACCCTCTCTCCGCTTCCTCAATAATCGACCTAATTACTCTTCCTCAAACAATCGAACTAATAACCCCAACGGCCGTAACGAACATGATGGCGGTCGCTATTCAACTCTCCGTCTGAACTGAGAGAATTTCGAAACTGTCTTTACAACACACCTCTCTTATAGGTAAGTTTCGCTATATGTTAATTTGTCGGACTGCTTTAAGTAACAATGATACGAACGCTACTATCAAAATATTTAATTTACAGACCTCCACCCAACAACAAATTTTGGAACCGGAAACGAAGACTTCATGCAAGACTTTTTGGATATATATTTCATAGCCTCTCGTAATCACTCAAAAACGTGTGCAACTCAAAATTCCCTTTGGAAATGGGAGTATTCACAGAGTATGGAACAGGCGATGACGTAAGGTTTAGGCTTAAATCGCTCATTAATTCTGAATTGAATTTGGCTTTACTGGAGAGAGCAAATGTAGATGTACAAGTTCCGTCTAATAACATATTTCAAGACGGCGAGAATGAGTTCGAAGCACGGGGAAATCAATCATGTGTAATAATTACCCTACAAACCAAGCATCCGCCAAAGCCATCCTTCCCGAAGAGACGAGAAATCAATTAGGATGGGATTTGGCAGCAATTCTGGCCGAGTATGCATCTTTAAATACGTCAACAAGACGTAATTATAGCAACAGTTCACAAGCAGAAAGTGAACGCCAGCAACCCAGACGAAAACCAGCTAATGACGATGGAATATCTAGAATTTGTCAAAAAAGAAAAGGACGTATTTACAAAGTTATTTGACTTCAATTGTTAATACTAGGGAGTATCTTACGAATTATTAAACCCACTAACAATTAAAATAACAGTATAAGCATTTGCGGTATCACGGAACATTAGAATATTAAATATCGCTTGTGTTTTATGGATGTATATTAATATGATCTTATATGGAATTGATACGACAAATAAAAAATAATTGAATAATACGATCACGTTTTATTCTCGATAAAGAATGTAAATTACCAGTTGCTTCCCAAACTAACCACACCTATTCGCATCCATCCAATTCCGTCGAAGATGGCTCTACACTTACAGAAGTCATGAACATGATAAAAGTAACAGTTGATTTTTTTCGCCGCCATTCATGATGTAAATGGATTCTTAGTTGGACCAACGATAAAACATATTCCCAAATCTACTCCATTCACATCCAGTCTTTTCTACTCTTCTTATTAACATTATTATTAGATACTTACTAGAATGACCCATCAATCATATGTCCATATAAGAAAAATTGAAGATAATATCAGAGGTCTAGATAATAACCAAGACAACATTATATAAAGTTGTTAATGGCTGATTGAAGGGAGTTTGTTATATTAGGGGGGGAGGACAAATAGTAGCATAGTACCAAATTTTTGATAATATGAGAAATTTTGTAATGAGAACTTAGAACTCTTCCTTTAAGGGAAAGGTCATGAGGAGATAGGGAGGAAATTGGGGACTTCACTTTTTGATTAATAGAGAATCTGTGTTAGAAGAATTGATAGGGAGAGGAAAGCCTAAAATGTTCAAATGAGAGGAGGTGGGTGGAGAATTGGGTGGAAAGAGGGAGAGATGGGAAGGAGAAGATTTTTGAGTGTTGATGAG